GAGTTACAGCTAGGAGGCAGTGTCTGTACTTCAGGGAAATAGCACACTAAACAGTTTTCAAGAAGACATCAGTTTCTCAGCCTAGTCCTCTAGCACAAACAAAACAATGGTACTCATCACTATTACTGACGGGAGGTAACTATCCTAGTCATGAGTTTTTTCTGTATCTGCTGTGTGTTATTCTACAATTGTTGCCTGTGTTAGATCTTTCTAGTGAAACAACTGCAAGAAAATATTTTCTAGGAACTAGATAAATACTGAGAATTTTATAGAGTATTCCACTTGTGTAATGTAATCATAGTCCAGTCCACTGGAACCAAGGAGTTGTATGAGTCTGAATATATCGGAATCTGAGCGTCTTCGAAGACAAAGTTTACAAAATCTGTTCTTTGGCTCTCTGAAGAATGCTTAACATTACAAAGGGGAATTCCCTGTGATGATACTTGTTGCCAAAAGGATGGGATATTTTTCTTTGAAACAAAAATGAATGGGCTAACATAGGTCTTGGGGAAAACAAACCAAACAATGGTTATGAATCTGTACTTCACTTGCAAGTAGTTCACGTCACTGAATGTAATGAGCAAGTTTGTGGAAGGATATCTCTTTCTGTAGGGAAGAAGAATTAAATTATTTTAGGCTGTAGATTATTTTTTAAAACTACTTTAAGAATAAGGGAAAGATGTTAAGAATACTTCTCTTCTTTGTAGGTTGGACAAATTTCTTTTTCTTTCACCTCAGCTCTCTTGTTCAGGGTTTTGTTGTTGGTTTGAGGGGGTGGGTTTGGTTGGTTGGTTGGTTGTGTTTGTTTGGTTTTTTTTGTTTTTTTTTTTTTTAAGACCTGTTGTGCTGCTCAGATACATGGCTTTGGTCCCAGAAAAAAAAAAAATCTTCTTTCTTTTCCTGTTCTAGATTACATATCGATTACGGTATCTTCTCCGAGCAAGATGTGATGCTTCACCAGTGACTAACAATACTATCCAGTTTCACTGTGATCCTAGCTTCTGGGCTCAAAATATTTTCAATCTAGGTATGATAAAGTTTTATTAGCCCTTTGGCGTCTGGATCCTATTTTGAAAGGAGCTTTCTTTTTGTGAAGATAAATAGCCTCTGCACTATTAACTTTTTGGTTTACTTTGTTAGGTTTATTTCCTTACCTGTAGAAGACATTTAGAGTGTGTTGTATGAGATTTATGAATACTTATGATAAAGTATTAACAAATTTACCTTACTTGAATGGTACGTGTGATGGTGAAAATAGCAGCTTTCAGTTTTCTGGGCAACACACGTGCCTTCTGTCTTCTGAAACAAGGAACGAACACAATCTATAACCCTACTTCACATCCTAAGAAAGGATTCCAGAAGTCAGTCTCATTCTGCATCTTCCAGCCCTTTCTTCTACTTCAATCCCATCTTCCCAAGCTGAAATCCATAGCAGTAGCACAATATGTTTGAGAACATCATTATTTGCTCCCTTGTCATGCTGAACAATAAGCCTTGTAGAACTGAAATGAAGATAAAGGCAGAATGCTAAAGAAAAAAAGAAGAACAGGGAAGAGAACACCACATTTTGATGGTTGTCTTTCTTGAAGTTGTGGGGTGGAATTCAGGGGAAAGCATGTTTTTAACAGAGTTGCAAATGTACTTGATCTTCATTATCCTCATAGATTTTGCTCTAGTCTCCAAACTGGTCTTTACATTTTTTTTCTTACAGCTATAAGTTGCTAAGGTTTTTTGATACTGGTGAATCCCAGAACCTGGAAGCTTTGCAGGTACCCTACTTGGCTGATTGCATGAAAGTCTGAGTTTAATGCAGATAAGCATCCTAGGAACTCATCAGCTTATGAGCAGAAATTAGAGCTTAGAGGTGGTCTTATGATTTTTGACTGCTGTCATGCTTTCTTTCTCCACTGTTAGCTTGATAGACCTATTTTGGTTTTTTTCATGTGCAGAATGCTTTGCAAGATACCTGTGGGACCTTTTCTGCCTCTCATCAGAAAGTGCAGTCAGCTCCACAAATGTACAGAGAGGTGCAAATCTATGTTTCTTTACAGAGGCAGAGAAAGAAAGTGTTATGGCAGTGCTTTAAGGCAAACAAACTCCTTTCTTAGAATCACAATTCTGAGAAATTCTCAGAAAATAAATTCTCACAATCACCTTTCTCCACACACCAGGACATTGGATGGTAGCAAGGAAATTCTTAAAGTTCCTTCTTTGTAAATAATTTTCTTTGGGAAAGGAGTTGAAAGTGAATCTCTTGTTTTCAGATATGAACTATCAAGCTGTGTGGTGATAAATGTGAATTGCTGCTAAACTGAGATGATGCTTGTTAAGAGGGGGCTTTTTCTTGTGTTTGTATTTGCAAGTCTTTTTTGTTTATTTAATGAGCCACTGAACTGTTGAAATATGTTCCTTTAAATTCTGAAAAGTGCTACAATAGAAATGGCACCTGTATAGATCAGCATAGGAGTTCTTGTAACAGTTTATCTAAGTGATAGATAAAACTAGATCACGTTTATCTGGTTTCAGACGTCACAACCTTTAGGCTGTTACGTTTATGATCAGACATGTTCAATTTCTGTAGATAAACCAGATTTAAGAACCACTGAAGGAAAAATAAAATAAAGTCTAAGTAAAGAAACAAATTACTCTGGGAATGGCTTGAATTCCAGTCAGGCTGCATGTTGCTGACAGTGTGATAGCATCTGTACACTAATAGGATAGCTTTCTTACGGATTTGAGAATGTATTTAAGGAAATTAAATGTTGTATTTTAAGTGGTTGAATTCCACAAATTGTATGATAACCCATGGTTTTCTAGAATAATGGAAGGGAGTCATTCTCTGTAGTACCTTTGGGTAAGTAGCTTTATACCACAGATGTTAAGTCTGGAAAGACTTCTGAAGATGTAATTAGACTTGGAAAGAACAGAATAAAAATGTGGTATGGGCTTGACAGTTTGTTGTAGTACAGACAATACTATTCTTTGTCAAGGCAATTCCTTTTCTAGAGAAAGAAAGTAAAACAGATCTATTTTGACTGTAGTGAAATATGTGATAAAGCCATATATAAGAAACAGTATTATTCATCTGCATTTTTCTCTGCTCACTTTATGGCAAACATTGACTAGACCTGTTAGGGACATAATAAAGGGTATTAGGCAATAGATTGGTAGTATTTTTCCATTTTGTTTAGCATATCTAACATTTTTGCTAATGACTGATGTGGTAGAATCATAATTAAAATGTATGCAACACCAAAATTACCAAGTGTCAATATGAAAATATTATTGTTCGTGTTAGCTTTCTGCTCTGCTCTACACTACAGTGTGTTAGCTGGCCTAGACTCCCTCTGTGTCTAGATAGGGGACTAGAATGGTGCTACTTGCATAGCTTCTCAGCTCTAGGGATGAAAAAGAGTAATATAAAATGCAGGATGCCTTGCACCTCTGGGAGAGGGAGTATGAGGTGTCTAGCCCCCACTTGTATTGAAAAGCTGTTGTGCAACCTCCCACAGATTTTGGAATTTTTGAATTCTTGGTCTTGGACCGTAACTTTCCATTTGGTTTTTTTAATTTAAAAAAGCATCTTTGTCTTTTCCTGTACAAACAGTGTGCTATTCCCTTGAATCAAATCAAACTCTGTTCTAGTTGGAATTCATCTTTCTTGGATGAGGTAGCCAGAATTTTACATGTAAAGAGTTTCATGTAATCACACTGTATATCTCTTCAGATAAGATCTCTTACCCAGCATTAGTGTCTAAATGTCACCTGTCTAGTCAAATTTCATTCTAAGTCAGTGGAGAAAGATAAAACACCTCCTGGAGGTGCCCATCACATCCCAGGTGCTGTGTAGCAACTGAGTATCATTTGAGTATTCCATGATGTTGACTCAGAGGCCAGAAAGGATCTCAATACCTCTAAGTGTTATGAGACAATTAAATCTTTTTATCAGACGATTGGATCAGGATGCTCTTTTCCATGGAAACTTTGCTCCCTTGCTCTTCTGGAGAAGCCAGGACAGCTTCCTAGGAGAATCCACCATATAGAGGAGGCTGCAGCACAAGACAGTTTGCTAGTTTTTCCTTTTCTGCTTATAAAATGCAAACATTTTATTGCATGAAAACAAACAAAACAAATGGAGTCCTCTATCTCATGTTTCTCTATTCTTTACATTACAATAATGAATGATGACCTCATGGTATAAAAGGAACTAATTGTGAAAAACAGCATTTCTGCTAGCTGCAATATTGTGATATTAATTTTATTTTGTTTAAACCAGGTTCTTTGGTAATAGAAGATAAAGAAACCCCACCACACATTCCCAAGAGCCCTGTCATGGAAACAAACTTACAGCCACCAGGCAGCTTACCTTCAAACCAGCTGTCTAAGTTCCCAACACAGATAAGCTTAGCTCAGCTCCGACTTCAGCACATGCAGCAACAGGTTATGGCTCAGAGACAGCAAGCTCAACGCAGAGCAGGTCCAGTAAGTTTACCAAATCCAAGAATGGCAGGAGCCATGCAACAACCTCCTGCTTCTCATCAGGTAAGTTATGACTATTTCCAGAGAAGAGAGTCTTTTTTTCCATGGCGCTGAAGAAGAAAGTGAAGAAAGATAAGAAAAAAGAAAGAAATTATGTCTAGATGCCTAACTTCACATAGCTTCATCTTTAGCACATGGCTATGTAAATGGATTAGGGAACATCTTCTTTGCTGAGGATTGAATGCGCATTTTAAACTTGTCTGGCAGAATGTGTGGAAGCACTCAGCCTATTTTTATTCAGGGGGGAAAAAAAATCACATGGTATCCAACCATATATAGTGCTGAGCTACACATTTTGTATTTTTGTCAAATGATTAAAAAGTGAATCTGTCATTAATTTTTTTTCCCAGGCTTTTTTGTAGAAAACTCTGATTCTCCCATATAACTTCCAAAGTTGGAAATACTCTCAACTGGCTCTTGTGATGTATCTGCATTTATTATATCAGAATAATTAAAATCCTAGGTTTTGTTTTTAACATAGAAAAATAATGTGTTGTGTGGTCATTCAGATAAATGGTGCAGTACTATTTGTTTGCATCGAATTTGTTAAGAGTTTCAGAAGTTTAAAGGACTACTCGATAAAAAATTCTGGAACACTGGATAGATACCAGCTAACTTGCAGAATTGTTTGTTTGTTTGTTTTCATGCAGGCACCTCCACGTTTGATTCATTTTCAGAATCATAGCCCCAAGTCCAATGGTTCAGCTCTTCCAGCACAACAGATGAGATTCCCACAAAATCAGAACCTACCAAGGCAAGCAATAAAGCCCAATCCGTTGCAAATGGCATTCTTGGCACAGCAAGCTATAAAACAGGTAGTTTCTTTCCCTTTTCACTCGCCATGTAGAAATAAAACATAAAATGTGCTTTATATTATCTTACTTCTATTATTATGTTTCTAGAGTGCTTTTCAGTTAGAACAGAGACTGCATTTTTTTCTATGACAAGATACCCACAGTTTTCTTAATGCGATACCTTGTCAAGTTTCTTTCATTTTGACAGTTCTAAGCAGCTGAAGCATTACTGAAGTGAGCCACTGTGTGTGCTATGTGGGTGTTTCATTCTCGTTTGCTTACCGTGATTTCTGGCCACTTACGCAAAACTTAATGTGGCCATGGTCTACACACTACAATCAGTGAGTAGGCAGATCAGAAAATCCCACTATTTAGCTTAATGTTAGTGACTTCATTAGCAACCAGGTAAAAGCTTTACTAAAAAGCTATAGCTGCTGCCATTCTCCAGACTATGCCAAATCTGGATTTCTACAGATGAGAGAAAAGAAAGTCTACAATTTTGGGAGTTCTGCTGAGTAAGACTGATCAATATCCAGCTAATTAGCAGTTGCACTGAGGCAGAAGCAAACACTTCAGATATTTTCTGCATGTTCAGGAAGACAAATCTTTATTAAAAAGCATATTAACACATAAGTTGTTAGGTATATGGAAGGACAGAGAAAATCACGCCACTAGAGGTAAGCAGGGAAGAATCAAATTAATCTGATCTGTGACCTGAGAATTGGAGTAATACCATTCATGTTTGCAATGGTTATGATGTCAGAGAACTAATTCCAACTAAATTGAAGAAAGCTGTACAATAACTAAGAGAACCTGTAGTAACAAAAACTAAGTCACTTCTATTTTGTGCCTCTGAAAAGAAGATTGGCCTGTCTGCAAGCCTTTCTTTCAAGTGTTTTCATTATCTAGTAATATCTTTCTGAAACTAGAAACCAGTAAATAGAATGACTGACTAAAAGGGAATTGAGCAGAGTCAAATTTTGCCTACGGTTGCCATGAAATTCCATTAAAGTCATTGGAAACTGCATATGTCTAAATGAGAAAGAAATTTAGTCTGACTTGACTGTGCACTTCATATCATGGTGTTAAACATATATGTGGGTGGAGATCCAGTCAGCATTTCAAATTCTTAATCACTTTAAGTTGTTAAGGGAAGCACAACATCAAATACTTGATGGCATCCAAGTGATGCTGTAGCTATTTACTTAATAAAGCACTGGAGCTGTGCATTGGAGTGCACACTCCAATTGGAGTTGCACACAACTCCAGTGCAAAACACTGGAGTTGTGCATTCAGCCTATTATCTGTAATGCTTTTTTTCACTAAAACACTTACATTTCTCTCACAACACTGTCAAAGGAGCATGAAACATTAATAGATACTTAACAATAAGATACAGCTTTGAATTTAAGAATTCACATTCATTTTTTCTGTTCATAGTTTTCAACTACTTGTCATCTTCCTTTGTAAGATTGGTTCTTGAAATTTAGGTAACTTCAGAGTAAATCAGGATTTTATGTTTGAATTCAGCTTACTGAACTAAGCTCTTGTTTAACTGCTGAGTTAGAACCAGTATATGCAGTAGATGAGATCTGTTGAAAAAAATAATGCTGAATTGTGGATTATCATCTTTTCTTTTTAGTGGCAGATCGGTAGTGGACAAACTTCAACTGCCCTTTCAACTGCAAGCAGCACAACATCTACTCCATCCAGCCCCACAGTCACTAGTGCTGTAGGATGTGATGGGAAGACATATGGTCCCCCTGTGATAGATTTGAGTTCTCCAGTGGGTAGCTCCTACAATCTACCATCTCTTCCTGATGTAAGTGTAACATAAGAGCAATGTTTTATGGATTCTATTCTGAAGTAAGTCTTAATGTTTGGGAGAAGTAGAAACCTTTTATACTGAAACTCTTGCCCCGTTTGTCAAAACATGAGACGGTTCCAGAAAACAGCAATGCAGGTTTGCCTGCATGTTGCTGGTAGTATTCTTAGGACTGTTCTGGGAGACAGCTGTTAGGACAACTAAGAAGAATAGCATTGCAGGTTGTAATTGTAATTTGACTTGTTTATCTTGATTCTGCATATTTTTCCCCCAGTCCCCACAATGATACTGACAAAAATGAGTTTTCTTAGCTTTTGTTTACCAGTGTCCATAGATGCCACTGGTTTGCTGATGGTCTTTCTGGTAAATGTTTAACATTTTTTAAAATATATTTTTAACTCATTAAAAGGGTTATCTTAAGTATAGATATATCTTCTTGGTATATTAGGTATATTCCTTATATCTTTTCCTTTTGGTACTTCTTCAGACTAGATATTAGGAAAAAATTCTTTACTGAGATAGTGATCAAACATTGGAACAGGCTGCCCAGGGAGGTGATGGAGTCAGCATCACTGGAAGTATTCAGAAGACATGTATACGTGGCACTTCAGAACATGGTTTAGTGGGCATGGTGGTGTTGAGTTGATGGTTGGACTTGCTGATCTTAAAGGTCTTCTCCAACCTTAATGATTCTGTGATTCTTTTCTTCATATATCCTCTAACATGCCTGTGAGCTGGTGATAGAAGGAGCATCACTTATAAGATCATGTTTTCTTAAGCTTCTAAACTTCTCTTTCACAGTTTCTTCTGATTGGTATGTGTTTGTCAGAGGTCCACGTTAGAGCTGTTGAATTTTAGTCAGTTGCCTTTATTCTTTCAAATAACTGCTGAATATTCTTGTGGTCTAAGGTTTGTAGATACCCGAAATGTCATGGTTTTCTAGTCATAACGTGCTGTAACTCTCTGTTTCTCCCACATGTCTTTTGTTCTCATCAATAAACTCTCAGATAAAAATGTTCTATTTTTTAAATGGAGTACATAGAGTGCAGAATCACAGTATCTGTCAGGCTTAAAAGGAGAACTACACAACAATATCATAAAACTACGTCTGTGAGACGTTTTAGCATACTGAGTTTTGTCCACAGTATTATTATGAACTCTTTTTGTATATGGTTAAGCTTATGCTATTAAGATGTATGGCCCAAATCACTGTAAATATGCTGACCTAGCAGAGGCTTCTGCATCCACTTTGGATAAATCTAGCTTATAAATAGAAATTTCAGTTGATACCAGTGGATTTGTGAGGTGGCTGGATAACTGAGAAAACTGATGCCAAGGTGTCTTATCAAATGTGATCTTATGTATTGCAAAACCCCTAACATTTCAAAAGGTCATTTCTCTTTATCAAACCAGAATGTGCAATTTTTACAGAAGGTTAGAATGGTAAACTGGGAGCCCCTAAAACAGTTTCAGTTTGTCTGGTCTGGGTTGTGGGTGGAAAGAACAAGTGTTGGTTTGCTATTTGCATTTTGAGTCAATAAGCATGGCCGCTGCCCAGAAGGTATGTGTGGCAGATGGAATTGAATGTCCTTTGAGGTTCTTCCAGTCCTGTTAAACACTGGTGGATTAATGGGTAGTTTGTGTATTGCTTATTATCTTTTTTAGACTATATAACATGAGCATGTCAAAAGAAGGTATGGAGATAAAAATTCATCTCTTACTTCAATGTGTGAAAGCTACCTGTCTGTTGTAAGCCTTCTCTGTAGCTGATGGAGAAAATTGGCACTTACAGAATCATCTGATCTTAAAACGAAGCACTGTCTGGATTTGGCCATTTCTTTTCTTTTTAGAAAAAACAAGGTGACCTGTTTTAAAGTAACCACCTCAGTTTTTTGGATGGCTAAAGTTAGGTGTAATGCATTTTAGTCTTCACCTTCAAAATAACCTATGGCAGAGGCATGGGGTAGTTGTTTGTTGTTGTTTCTTTGGAGGTTTTGTTGTGGTGTTTTTTTCCCCTCCCAACACTAACTGCTTCCCCTCTCTTCCACACCTTTTAGATTGATTGTTCAGGAAACATCACACTGGATAATGTTGTAAGGAAGGATGGCACTGCAGAGCAGAATCAGCCAAAACCCGCTTCAAACAGAACTGTTCAGTCACCAAATTCATCGGTACCATCCCCAGGCCTCTCAGGTAATTGGAATGTGGTACAATTTTCTGTTTAAGTGGTGTAATGGAAAAATCTAATGTGACACTGTTAACACTGGCATCAGAATTGGTTACTTCTATTTTTTTGTCAAGGATGAGAAATATGAAAATGAAGGCAAAGTCATAGAAACCCTAGTAGGTGGTAAAGTTGAGACAATATTTTCACAGAATCATTAAGGTTGGAAGGGACATTCGAGATCATCAAGTCCAACCACTAACCCAACACCATCATGCCCCCTAAACCATGTCCCAGAGCGCCACATCCACACATTTTTTGAACACTTCGAGTGATGGTGACTATACCACCTCCGTGGGCAGCCTGTTCCAATGTTTGACCACTCTCTTGGTAAAGAAATTTTTCCTAATATCCAGTCTAAACCTCCCCTAGTGCAACTTGAGGCCATTTCCTCTCATCCTATCACTAGTTACTTGGGAGAAGAGACCAACACCCATGTCGCCACAACCCCATTTCAGGTAGTTGTAGAGAGCAATAAGGTCTCCCCTCAGCCTCCTCTTCTCCAGACTGAATTTTAGCATTGTCAACAAAAGTAAGTGGCTAGATCTTAAATACATGGAGGGAAAAACTCAATATATTTTAGCGAATTGTCTAGCAATACACAGAAAAATGTCAGTCTTAGGTGTACACCAAATTAAAACCTAAAAGCTGTGGTAGGAGTCAAGTATTTGAAAAAGCAGGATAGGATGTAACAGGAGACAGTGGCTAGAAATGGTGACTTGGGAAGTTCAGTTTGGATATTAGAAAATCTTTTTCACTAGGAGGGTAGTGCAGCACTGACATGGGTTGACCAGAGAGGTTGTTGTTGTTATGGGTAGCTAAATGTGGTGGACTTGAAGGAGCCAGGGGACTCCTGTCACCATGCCTGGTGGCAATCAGCAGCTCCTCCTTACTCCCACTTCCCAGTCCGGCCTGTAGTGAGGCTATGTGAGCGTGAATTCCCAATAAGCACTTGCATTCACAGACAGCACAAATGGCCCACTCTGGTTTCTCAGGAGCGATGCTCAGCAAAAATGTCCTTCGCAAGTCTTTTGGCTATCTGGTCCCCAGACTTCTTCCTATTCGCCAGCTTGTCTGGCTTAAAGTTCCCTAGCAGATCTCCTTAGACATCTGCTAGAATTTAATAAGATAAGACAAAACAAACTGCAGTGATCAGGTGGAGGGGTCACCCAGGCAAAGGTACTGACCTATCAGCCTGCTTACATGCAATGGGCCCTCCTTCTCTCTGTTATCTGATGCTTCTCATCCTCTCATGAATTTGTATTGAGTGAGATATGGGTTAAATGAATAACACTGCAGGAGAAATTTTCCCCCAAACCTGTGTACTTCTCTGAGTCACAGCTCAGACTTGGCACAGATGTGTGTTTTGTTCTAATCTGATTCTTCTATCCTAGGAGGAGTCAATGTGACAAACATACACCCTCCAATTCGTTCACCCAGTGCCTCCAGTGTTGGGAGCAGAGAGAGGTAAGGAGAGTGGGACAGAAGAAAATGTAACGTCCACCTCCATAGAACATGCCTCAGTCTCTTCTCACATTAATAAATTAACTTCTATATGAAGTTGATTTCCCTCGCCTTCTCTATTAACAGGCCAGGCCTGACGGCTGTTACAGCACTCTTTGCATTCTAAAAGTAGTAATTTCATTTGTAATATATTAATAGCACGCCTAAAAATGTGTTAACTCTGTAAATGATGGCTAGGTTGGCGTTATTAAAAGAATGCCAAATCTAAATCAGGTTTTAAATTCAGAAAAATCAACTAAAGGAAAAAGTTGCATGTTGACAGTCCTTATGGAACTATAAATGACTTTAGATTTAAGGAACTGATGTTACAAAGAGGGTTATTAAGAATTTTCTGCCATAATACAGTTAGTTAAGTGAGCAGTAGATATCTACTGAGAGTCTACAGAAATGTTTTTATCCCATAGTGATGAAATATTAATGAACAAATAGATTTGTACGGTGTTGTTTGAACAGTGCAGATCCATTAATGTGTTCCAATAAGTTTGAGCATACATCTGACATAAGATTAATTTTTTATGCAGAGAAAACTCAGATGACATTCATCCTACCTGAGTTGGAAATGCAGATGCTTTTTAATATAGAATACCTTTTGCTCTATTCCATTTATGTGGTAAATTCTGTGAAGGACTCTTATGAAGTGTTTAAATGTTTGTCTGGAGAGACTTTTACTTGCATTTAAAAAAACATGATTCTGTCTAATGCTGCTTGAAGTAATTTTGTTGGATTTAAAATTCTTCATTATTATTTAAAAAATAAACATAAGCTGGTATTTTTGAGTTTGGTTGTCCATTCTCATCCTATTATGACTAACCACATGAAAAAAGACAGATCTAGTTCTGAAAGTAGGGCCCCAGTTTTGGTAGAGCTGCAAGGCTGTAAAACTCTTGCAAGGTAATGTAAATACGTGTTTTATTTGGCTTATTCATTTGTGTGGTTTACAATGATCAGTTCAGCTCTGGGGAGACACCGGCCTTCTCCAAAATACAGCAGCATCTCCTCCAAAGTGGGATGATGTTTAGTGGAAGCGCTTTTTTTGTGTATAACCTAGAAGAAATGGAGTTATTTGAAAATCTTGCACTAATGGGAAATAAAACCATGAGTAATTATCTAGTTCTGGAACTGCACCATTAAAATTTTCCCTTTTCGTAATGCCTTTTCAATATACATGAAAGGAAATGAACTTGGATGTTGTATTCTATAAAAGTAATACTGTAGTGCCCAGGATTCAAAGCAGCAAAATGGATTAGCATCCTGAGGTCTTGGAAAGCATCAGTGTACAAAAGGCATCTGGTTCTGACTCAATTTCCCTTTTTTCCTGCTTCTTTCTGTCATTTTCAGTTCTGGCTCCTCCAGCAGGCCACCAGGAGCTGATTCTACACACAAAGTCCCGGTTGTTATGTTGGAGCCAATCAGAATTAAACAGGAGTCAAATGCAGCAAATGAGAACTTTGATTTCCCAATTGTTATAGTGAAGCAAGAATCAGAGGAGGAATCCCGGCCTCGGAATGTAATATTAACAGTTATAAAGATCTCCTTTCTCTGTGGTGGAGGGTATTTTGCATTTATGGGGAATAAAATAATACACTAGTATTCTGTTGGGGGCTTTTTCAGGAGAAAACTAAAAAGCTAAATAGGAGGAAGAGGTGACAGTCAAAAACTAGCTCTACTGCCAATTCAATTAACTGGTGTGATCAGACTGCTTTTAGAATCATAGAATAGAATCACAGAATCAT